ACCAGCATCACTTCTGCCGTGTCAGAATTAACGTTCAGGAGAAGTAGTTCTGCTGAGGAGTAAGTCAATGGGAACCTCTCTTTGTGAGACACTCTGTATGCTGTGGCGAGAGTCAAGGACAGCCCACCTCTGCAGGGTTACAGTCTGGGAAGGGTAAGAGATATTCAAACAAGGAAGTGTAAAAAGTATAACAGATGTTTGAAAAAGTGCATTTTCTTTAAAAAGTGTATATTACTTTAATAATTACTCATAGCCCTGAGTCTATACTCTAGCTTCAGTCTTAAACTTCCTTAAGAGAGCAACGTGCTCTATCAGCAATTAATGTCAGAAAGAAATTCTAGCCTACAATCTGAATTTTCCATCCCCTTATTTAATTCATAGGTGTGTTCAAACCTGAATTTATTTTGCCTAGAGAAAAGAAGGCTGTTTGGAAGATCTCACTTATCCTACCTGTGGTCTCCAACACTGGGCTACTGTATCTCCCTTACACCCAGAGTTCAAAGTCTGGCACTAAGTTTAATAGATAGGTTTTAGGCCACATAAAACAAGCCCTCCCTGAAGTCAGTAAAAATTTTCAAGGCTCCATCATGACCCATTACAAAAGCAATTTTTGTTTTCATAATGTGAAATAGAGTATGAAATTCAGAATTTGGGGAGCTTCACCTAATACTTAGATATAATAATGTTGCCCTGGAAAAGATTTTGTCCATAACTAAGTTTTAAATTGACCCTATTAGCATCACCGCACTGACTCTGTATAAAACACTACATTAATGACTGTAGAATAAAAACGTATTTCATGTAAACGAAAAACCAGTTCCTATGAGAGCTACACATTATATAACCTTTACATCAAAATAAATTGAGTGTATTTCCACTGTAAATATTTTATTTTAGAACTCATTCCTTTAAGTTTCCAGATTTTGATTCATTTTTAATATTTCTTTTCTTTCTGCAATTTAAGTGTGTTTAACTGGTTTCTTTTTATGTACCACATCATGAGAATCCATCATTTCTGGAAAATCACCACCCATTATCTACTTAAATGTTACCTCTTCCACACGGTCTCTATTTTCTCCTCCTGGAGTTCCTACTTTCTAGTTCTATGACTCTTAATAATGATAATATTTTCCGTTCCTTTGTATATCTGCACATTGGGCATTATCCTCAGTTATGCTATGTCTAATCTACATTTTCACCCTTTCCCTGTGCTTTATTTCAAGAATTTTTTTTTATTTTACAGATGTTTCATTTATCTGTTTTATAAACATTTTGTCCTTTTCTTAGGGGTCTCATGTGTTCTTTTTATACTGTCAACATTTTACCTACCCTTATTTTGCATTCTCTTTCATGTTACTGTCACCTTAGGTTCCTCAGGATCCAGCCCTGCTGTTCTATCTTACGCTGACGCACACATGGCTTCGGTCTGGCTGACTCTCTCTTGGTTGTTTACTTCCTTGCGTGTTTCTTCATCAATCACAGTGGCCATATCTTTAGTAGGGCGTGCTTCATTCATGAAAGCCCTAGCAGTTTAAATAGCTGGGAGTTCTCCTTGATCATAGTTTGTGTCCTGCTCTGTTAGGGTTCCCATGGGTAGCTTTTAGTTTGAGCACTTTTAGGTCAGCTAGGTAGAATGAATAACAAAAACAAAAACTCACATGGCCCGCAGCCCCTAAAATGAAATTCTCAGGGGACGATATCTTCTCAGTAGTACGTAGTTTCTTGTTCTCTCTCTGTGCTGGAAGGCACAATTTCCGAGCCCAATTTTTTAGTGAAATGCGGAATCTGGTTTTATGCAAGGAGTGCCTCAGTTCAGTTCTCTGCTCCCTTTGAAATAAACCTTTTACCTTCTTTCTGTCTCAAGTCGCCGCTAGACTGAGCTCATTGGCCACTGAGGCCCAGAACTTCCCACGGCAGCCACAGTGTCACCTCAGAATCCGCACTCTGGTTTTGATATTCTTCACTCCTGGCACAGGTAACCCCTTTGATTATTTTGAGAAGCAACATTTTTAAGTCGTTTAAAATATTTTATCCAATATCTCTAGGTCTTGTAATAAGAAGGTCTCTAAAGATTACCTTAAGTCTACCGTATTGCCAGAGCTTTAGCTTACAACCAGTTTACTGTTTCACTGTTTATGATCAGTTAGTCCATCCCCAGCAAAAGGGCTAGCTGGGCGATTTTTCAAATTTTGAGACTTTAAAACCCTTATTGTGGTGCGTGTGTGTGTGTGTGTGCGTGTGTGTGCGTGTGTGTGCGTGCGTGTGTGTGTGTGGCTCTTCCTCATCTTTAGAAGTAATGGACTAGAGGCATATTTTAAATTTTTAAATAAACAGACTCTAGCCTACCTTCTTAGATCTTGGCAGGACATGAATTTATCTTGCTAATCTCCATGAAACATTAGTTATAGTAAACGGTGTTAATTGATTTCCAATTAAAACTTTAGGAAAAGAGAAAACTAGAATCTTTTTCTTCCAAGCATGACTTCAAAATGTCAAGAAATATACTATGAAGGTCTAAAAATATGTAACTTCTCTCAAATAAGACAATTTAGCACACTTTTCAGTAGTGAAAGCTCCAAAAATATGTAAAAATTCTTTTACAAAAGTGAACCGTAAACAGAATTATTCAGCAAGGGTGAGAGAATTTATGGCACAGAAATGGCAACTTACAAAGACTAAAGATCTTATAAATGACAATCTCTGATTTGAGAAAATGGCTGTACCATATCTAAAGTACATGGTGATTGCCCCTATTACAAATAATACACCTCCCACTCTGAAAAAGATACAGGAAATTGCTTAAATGACAAGACAAAGGCATATGGAAGAGTTTATTTGTACTCTTTATCAGACGGAAGTAGTTTTGTGTAGCTTTTTTTCATACATTATAGGTGCTAAAATACTGTTGTTTATTGCTGAAAATTATAAAGTTTCTTGACTGTTCAACTAAAAAGCTAAAGACACTGTCATAGAAAACAGTAGATGAAAAGTAACCACATATGTTTCGGAAATAATATGTTCTGAAAAGACCAAGATCTAATTCTAGAGAATGATTCCCTTGCATTTATTACAGTACCCGCGACATTATGAATTGAAACATGTTGAAAGTACTTCTGCTTACTCCTCTGCTGCTGAGTTCTCTCCAGTAAGATTAGCACAGGATTCCTGAATGACGGGAGGAGAACACTTCTTCCCTAAATAACAGATAATGTAAAGAACTGTAGACTCCATTAAGCAGTAAGTCACATTTGAAGAAAGCATTGGGGAAAGTTAGCAGGAAAGCTTGAAATTATTATTTTATTCAGTCTCACTACTGACATGTAACCAAAAAGTATTAAAAGCAAGTCATTTCCCTCAGACACAGAAACAGGCAATTACAGATGTTATGAAATGGAAAAGAAAACTTTGTTTATGAGCTAATCTAGTTGTTTTTAAACAGCAGTATAGCTGCTTCTGATTTAATTCAGCTAGCAGGTAATGTTACCAAACTACTACCTTCAGGCTTAGTAGAACTCAATTCAAAGCCAATAAAAAAGCCCATCTATGTTTTAAACATGTACATCCAAAGCAAATTCGAAAACAGCTCTATTCAGAACATCCAAGATTAATTTTTTCCTTTCTATTATTATTTTTCTCGCATTTATCCCCTTGCTGTTCAGTATGTCGCATGGGCTAGCAACCTCCACGTCATGGGGCAAAGTGTTAGAAATGGCAAGTGTCACATGCACCTAAGACCTACTGAATTTTATTCTGCATTTTAACAAACTCTCCATGTGATTTATATGCCTTAAAAGTTTAAGAACTCTGTATATAAGACATAGAAATGTTTTGTGACTTAACATCAAGTATAAGATTTCTTTTGGGGGTAATGAAAATGTCCTGGAATTAGATATTGCTGCTGATCGCAAAACTTAACAAATGCATTAAACAACTTTGCACTGCAAAACTTAAGTGGGCGATTTTTATGATACGTGAATGCTGTCTTACTTTTTTGAAAGGGAGAAAGATAAATTTATAGTAATACTTTAATAGTAAATACTCAACTGCACAGAACTTAGATGGATAGAATCAGTTCTAACATTTTTCTTGTATCTGAAAAAAAATTCCAGGGCTCCATTTCTTACTGCAAAAGGGAACCGCAGCGGGCTCTGACTCTGGGGAGACAGCCTGGGAGGGACGCGCCCGGTCCGAACCCCGCCTGCCCCATCCAGAAGAGGGGCCAGGAGACGGAAGCCTATGTGCAGCCGCAGGGCGGCCCGGCCTGTGGGCGCGGGCGCTCCTCACCCCCGCGCACCCCGCTCGCGCGCCTCGGAAGGCCCGACCCTCGCACACGGGCTCGCGGTGA